AGAGGGGGAGAAGCCAGGGCTGCTAAAACTGCATAAAGACAATTTTTCCTTCACACTTTCTATTGTGTTTCTTGAGGGAACTCTGTGGGTTCGCTCCTGAGCTCCCGCTCAGTGCAATACAGGTTCCTCAGGCATTCACATCTAAACACAGAACGTTTTTGCAAAACTGAAGCAAGGGAAGCCTCTTGTTCCGGAAAAATACTCTTGGTACAAATGCTTCCCTCCAGATGACTACCCCTCTTCATTTCTCCATCCCCATTCAGCTCCTAAAGGGCTACAGAGCGATACTGAAATGTGTTAATCTGATAGCAGCTAAAACAACACATGTTCAATTAGAGTTTTAGTTGGTTTCTTTTTGGTTTTAGCCAAAATTGACCTCCTAGCTGCCTGACAAAGCTTGCCAGATACACAGACAATCCCCACTCCTCACACGTGGCACCAGTGTCTCCTTGGGGTTCCTGTTGCTTACGTGAGCAATTTCATCTGTCCCAAAATTCTTCATCCATGTAATTACCATACAATCACTTAACAACAAGAACTGACAATCTTAGCAATTTTATTCTCTTTTTTAATTGATTAGTTTCCTTAAAAGGAGAATCTAGTGTCCCTACAACGGCAGTCAGGATCTTATTTTTTGGAAGTACTGAACTGATTAATCAATTTATTTGATCAGTAGGAGACATACTGTAATGACAAACATACACAGTCATTTCAATAATCCCAAGTCAAACTGTTACTGAACTTTAATATTGTAGATACTAGTGTTTAAAGTTTGGAACTGTCACTTACTAATAAATTCAAAAAGGATAACATCTCTACAATCTACACATTACACTTAAGAGTATCTGTGATAAGAATGACACTGATTTAAGTCAAGTGTCAGAATACTTGTCAGCTTGAGGCCATTTTGAATACTTCAAGTTGTCTATTAAGGATATACTTCCCCACAGGAATCTACTTACCTCACCTGAATTTTACAGAAAGGTCTGGGTTTATTATAATAACAACACTTCAACTCTTCTGAATATTCTTTCAAATACATTGATTAATGTTGTCTTTTTCAAGTATCTTGCAAAATGGCCACAGTGACATCTGGTCTGACTTGTGCAAAGTGTCTCACTGGGAAAATTAAATTCTTTTCCCATGTTGCCTGATGTGAGGATGCTTATGTTCTTTCTAGGAGCAGCCAGCTCAATACGGGAGGAAGATGCATGCAACGTGAAAGTGTTGCCTTGAAAAAAAATACACGTTCACCTTCTTTAAATGGAGGATTTGAATATTTTTTCCTGAATTCAATGTTCTCTAAATAACTTTCTTGGCCTCTGCTGGCTATTTGTAGTGTGCTGCTGAAGGTTTTACATGCAAGCAGTTCCTATATATCATTCTCTCAATTGCATTCGTTGAATTTCACTTTCATACTGAATTTCATAGGTGATTTACTTTCTCTTTGACTACTACCTCCTGAGAAATAATTCCATGAATGAAAATAAGGGATAGATATCACTCTTAGGTGTGGATCCAGTGGGAACCCACATGAAATGCTGTCAAAGCCCACGGCATGTGATGTTCGCAACAATCTTAGAAAACACTTTCATTAATGACCTACAAGATAGAGAGAACAATGTGGAAAGATGGGATGAACTGCAAGCTACAATGAAAATACAAAAATACAGAGATCCCTTGAGCAGTTAGAAACTCATGCAAGAAAAAAACATAAGATGACATGAAATTACAAATGTTATGAAGAAGGGAATAAAGATTCATTGTCAGCTGATTCTTCCAAGGGGCATTAAATGATGCTAATAGATTCAAAGCAAGATTTACTTCACTTGGGTAGTTCTGCTGCAGAACTCCTTGCCATGGGATGTTAAGATATTTACATGTGTTCAAAATTGCAGGAGGCTGTCAAAGTACTCGGTAAGCATCACTAGATAGCTGCCCTGCTCTCAGACTCTAACATCCACCTCTTGCCAGCGTTAGAGCTGGTAGGGCCATTATTCTGCTTGTTAGCCAAAGTTAATAAAATGCCATGAGAAACCCAGAACACTGAAGGGAAGAGCCTGCGGATAAAAAAAAAATCTGTCTGAAAAAAGCTTGAAGGGACTGAACTAGATAAATAGAAATAAATAGCTATGGAAGCAAGTAGGCCAGTGCTAATTTGAGGCTGTTTCTGCAAGGACCCCGAAGTCTGGCTGAACTGGTGAGAACACACCCAGCGTGCCGCTGTAGGCCTGGGGTCCCTTGTCTCCAGGAAGACTGACAGGCAGGATGGGTTTCACAGAAGAACAATCACATGATTCAGAGACTAGCATGTCATTTATGAAAAATTATTTAAGAAAAGATCTTCACAGCTTGCTTAAGTGATGATGAAAACCAAAAGTGACAGCCAGGAGAAGAAATAGCTTAGATTTATTTAAAGAGTGTGAACATCATAACAAGGGAGAAAGAATTAGGCTCATACAAAAGGGGCTAAAGTTGAAAAGGAACATGAGGTGAAATATCAAGAAGCATAACCAAGGTTGGGAATTATCTTGTCATGGCTTGTGACACAAAAAAAAAAAAAAGCATGGACACAGAAACTTCACAGAATATGTGGTAAGGGACAATCGCGTGCTGATCCCTTGGAAGGATCAGTGAGAACTAACACATCTCCCCCATCAGCAGTGCTCAGGACTCCTACATGACCCTGACACTCACTCTGGCGTGGTGCTGATGCTCTCACACAACAGATACCACAGAAATTCTGCTGTTTCTCATGATTTCTCCTTTCATGATGAGTGAACACGACACTCACAAGCACTTTCTTTTGGAATACTTGTGCCATTAGCAACACCTGATTTCACAACAGCCACACCATGGGGTACTTCTGCTGCCCAAGTCTAACCGGATCTATGGGGCAGAGGGATCACAGTAAGGAGGACTCCTAGGTTTAAAAACTCTGCAGTACAGGAAGAGCTGTCAGTTGTTTATTAGCCAGCTGCAGAATGACATGCTGGCAGCAAGTCAGTGAGAGCTGAGATAAGTTACCCACTATCGCACTTTCAAATTAGGTAAAACACTGAGGCTCAGAACTAGAAGGATGCCCCAGATGCAGAAGCAGTACATGCAGTGCCCAGCTCTGCATTGTCTGCCATAACTTCTGCCTTCACCTCACTCATAGTGAGGGCCCTCAGCTCTGGCCACAGGACAAATGGTGCCTCTGCAGTTCAACATACACTGTGCCACTAGATAAACCCCCCCCTTGAAAAGGTCCTTTATGGGAAATCAAAGGACCTTCTTTCCAGCCCGGCATCAGATGGTGGGTGCAGGCCACACTAAACTTCCAACAGATCTCTCCCCTCTTGACTTGACATCCTACAGGGTCACATGTGGAAAAATCACTCTCCATCCAGCTTGCTTTCTCTGGAGGCAAAGCATCACGGCCTGTTGCTCAGAGCAAAATCCTAATGCATCAGGTAAGATTTCCGACGACAAGCCATTATTTCTGAAGACCACTGGATATCCTGTCAGCACACAGGTTATCTACAAGCTGTTAGGTCAGCAGGAGTCCTGCCAGCACAACAGGATAAGAAGCACAACTTGCTTTTATGAAAATGTCACTCTTGATTGAGCACAAGAACGAGGGCAGTGAAGGGGGCTCAGGACTGAGGGAAAAAGAGCTGCACTTTTGTTTGGTAGGATCTCTCTGTCTCTGTGCAGGGTCATGCCTCAGCATGCCTCCAGCATCAGCGCTATCTTCCTAAAAGTGCCCTGTGAGCTGCCTTCCAAATCCACGAGGAAGCGGCCTCCTGGGCCACCTCTTTAGCAAAGAGCGAGCACAGGCTGAAGGAATGGATCAACGGGTGCTGGGCGTGCATGAGGAGGGACTGAGCAGAACAAGGAACCAGGGAAACCAGGACCCTCCCAACACCACTTGGCACTCAGGCCAATGCCTCTTGTAGAAACTGCTGTGCACCAGCCACAGAGGCAGCCACTGCCCAGTGTGCAGGGGACCAGGCCAGTTTAACCCACAGCCAGCCAAGAAACATCACCCGTACCAGCAAAAATGGGTTCAGGACTTGGCCATTACATCCCTGTGCCTTGTGCAGCAAGCTGGTGGGAGCAAGGGATGGGGAGGAGGGAGGCAGCAGAAGCTGCCGGTGTCCACCCTTGTGAACTTTATGTTTGGCCTGTCCAAGCCCATTGCACCTCCTACGCGGTACACAGCATCTGTAAGTCTCCTCCAGCTTTTTGGGCTGTAATGACTGCTTGCATACTGGCTACCATGCACGCTGAAGACTGGTGCTGGCACAACCCTGTGGCTCAGGCTGCTCCTTACGGCTGGAGGATTCACCACACAGCGCGATACTCCACACCGCCTCGTTCTACCTCCTCACAGTGGCACAACAGGACTTGCACACAATTAAACCCCAATGATTAAAAATCATTAAAAAAAATTATCCCCAGAAATTTCAGGGAAGCTTCTCTTGAAGAGGCAAATGCAGTGAATGTGTAGAGATGGTGCAAACGCCTCACGGGGACTCAGCCGTCATTCCCACACTGCAGTCCTACCCACAGCAGTACTGGCTGCCTACGATGTCCCTGTGCATCCTCTTGTGCCCAAAGGAGCAGAGATGGGCTCCTTCCCTCCCACACTGCCCACCCAGACCCGCGCTCCATGAGGCTCTCTTCCTGCCTATACCACAAAGACCTCAAAACGCTGCGGTCTTTCCTTGCACACCAGTTCCCCTTCAATGATTTAGGATCCCCTCTGTTACACAACCCCTCCCCAAATCACTGGTACAACACGCCAGTACAGCACATGTCGAAATACAAACACCAGATACAAATCTGTCAAGAACAGCTGAGCTGGCTGCCTACCCATCGAGAGCAGGGGAGTGGACAGTCTGGGGAGGTTTATTCAGAGCAATGTCAGCCTTCCCATGCCGCTACCTTTTCTTCAGGGAGTGATGAGCATGGCTGAGAGGAGCAGGATAAAGGGGTCCAAGAGATATGATTACCTGTATCCTGTCTTCTGGCAACTCTGTTTTCATGGCCAACATCTCTCTAGCATATACATCAGGATAGTGGGCCTCGTTGAAGGCCTTTTCCAGCTCCTCCAGTTGGTAGGATGTGAAGATTGTCCTGAGGGGAGTAAAACTCTTTGATCAAAAAAACATAAGAAGCAGCAGCAAAGATGATGGAGAGTCAGAGGAATGGATACAGAAGCTACAGAAACCTGGGTAACCTGCTAACGCATAGCTTTTCCCCCATCTCCTGTGTTTCTGTGCACAAAAGGTCAGGTGCCAGGGTGAAAGGAGAAACAGAAAATGCCAGAAGACAGCGCTTTAAACAGTTACAAATCACCTTCCCTTTCAGGGACTCGCCTCTGGAGACGATCCCTCCCCAGCAGCGAGCACCCGCAACCTGCAGCAATGGCAGCTGCTCTTACATCTCAGACTCTGCTGCCTCTTGTGAGGATCCTGGGGGTGTCCCTGTCCCTTACCCCCGCCCCTACAACATCGCACCCACCCCTGGCCTGGCTTAAAACCACCCCCTTCCTCCTCTTGCATCCAGAGGTTTCTTAACTCTTTGATAGACACACTGAGACAAAGCAGCATCCCCTCAGGACCCTGTCTGGAGAGGTGCTGAGCCCTTCCCCAGATGCTGGTCCTTAGCCTCTTCAATCTCCATGAGCAAGTAATCCTTCCCTGGAGCCCCAGCCCTCGGCTGAATCCTCCAAAGGTTTTATCCGCTCTGACCCCCACTGCTTTTCACCAGTCCTTCCCCACGAAAGCCAGTGTCAGCCCCCTTCCTCTGCCTTCACCCTGGTTGCTTCCACTCCGAGATCCCATTAGCTGCTCCCTGCCAGTTTGCATTACCCCATTATCCTCTGGAAATCCTCCTGGACCGCCCTGGGCAGGCAGCAGCCCAACCTGCCTCTGCGCAGCCAGTTCTCAGCTCGGGACATTGAAAAATCAGCAGCTGGAAAGCCGAGACAGATGAAAGCCCTTCTCCAGGGGATGGATGAGAGGTCTGGGACCACTTCCACTCCCCTGAGGGTTAAAAATCCCACCCTCCAACCTCCCCGGTACATGAAATGCAGTTTTTTATAAAAACTAACAACACTGCAATGGCAAAAAAACCCAAACAACCAAACAAACAAAAACCACCACCAACGAATCACAGTCTTTTGTTCAAAGTAAACATATATTATCAAACTAAGAAACGTGTAGCTCCCAGAAGGGGGAAGGAAAGAGGAAAAAAAAAGTATTTTTCTAAAATACATCCAAATTTCAGAAAAGCCCTACAGTTCCAGAAAGCATAAACAGAAAACCTCAGAAATATCCTTCGCTATTCAGGATCGAAAGGATTCCACCAGATCGATAACATTACTAACAAAAGCAGCATGCAAATGCAAGGGACCTGCCTGCAATCAGACCCTTCTTTAAATTCACTCCTAAATCCATTCTCTTTTCAAACAGTTTTCCTTCAGCTCCGACAAATCTGTGACCTCTAGGGACAGCAGAGGCACATTAACTCACGTATTTTCTCTCTCTGGGACCACAGGAAAAATTATTCCAATTTTGATCCAGTTCAGATTTCAAGCATTCCCCTCCATCCTCCTCCTCCAAGAGCGCCGAAGCCCAGCAAGGCTCACGGGCGGGAAGGTTTTGCCTGACATTCAGCTGAAGTTTTCCCCTTTTAGCTCTCTTCCCTGGGTAGCCCCTGTCCCTTTTGCAATACACAATTACGGTCCCTTTTGGTGTTCCTCTCCCGCAGCTGTTTGCAGACTACTGGCCTGTCCCTGTCAACTCCCAGCCCTTTCTTTCTGGGTACAACTAGAGGTCTTAACCATTTAGTACAAATACACAACTACAGCTAAACGTTGCAGGTCCGTTTCTGTCTAGAACTGAAAATAAAACGAATCTGGATTTCGTTTCTTCTCTCCCATCCAGACCGTGACCTGCACACCAGCCTCTGCTGTGTTCTCACCCAGCCCTGCCCGGTCTACAAAGAAACTGAACCCGTATTTACTCCAGAGCACCCAAACTGGGAGCATTTGCCAGGGGAGGGACCCTGAGTTTGGGATGAGCCCTCCAGACCAAGCCTCCTGTTGCACACATAGCAGGAGGTCTCCTGGGACAGTTGGTCTCCTTCCACCCCGTATCCTGCTAAGCTTTCACTGGGGCATCTTTTAATCCACCCTTCCTGCATCGTGGTGGGATTGATTTAATTATTCCTAAATCACCCTCGGTGGATGGTGTCTGCCCTTCCTTTGTCCTGACTCTCTGCCACAGCAATGCCAGAACCCAGCACGGGATTTTTCATTTCTGTTTATAAGGCGCACACAATCCAACTCCATTTTAACTGTGGGAGAAGTCGGGCAAAGTGTATACCCTGCCCGTTCCCGAGGGAAAACCAAATCCCCTCCAAATCTCCCAAAGTGGATCTTCGTTCCTTTAACCAATTCTCCAACCTTCTTCAGCTTCTCTGCAGGCTGTATCCGATTCCCAACTATTTAATCTATTGGCAAAACATTTATTTACAAGTAATAAAATATTTAAATTATTGAAAGAAATTCTCTCTTGCTGACAGCCAATATTTAGTTTGCTATATGCAAGGCAGGGTTCGGTTTTGATTATTTCGGACAGGTTGATGATTTCCCCACCCCGAACACCGGTGATCTGCACATCCCGCCCCGATGTCCACAGGCTGCTCGGGTTTGTGGCTCGGGATACCTGGATCCGCAGCCAGAGAAATTAAATAAAACGACACCTGTGGCCGATCCCCCCGCTCCCTAAAGGCACGTCCCCGAATCC